GAATACCCTACGTCAGCTACGTGCCCCAGCACGAATGAATTGCCAAGATAATCGCCGAAGGTTTTCATTTTGAATTTAGAAAATTTATAAAAAGATCGTAAAGTTTCCTGATTCACCCATAGTTCTAATTCAATTGAATAAGTAGACCTTTGATAAAATGATCAGAGAGTTTGTCTTTGGAGTATCAGCGCCTCTTCAAAGGCATGGAAATTGTCACACAAAGGCACGAGTTGTAGGTGTAACGCGAGCGTGAAAGAATACACGCGCGTGAAAGAATACACGCGCGTGAAAGAATACACGCGCAAGAAGGGCGCTCGTTTTATTATTATTATTATTATTATTATTATTATTATCGTTGTCATTGTTATTATTATTATTATTATTATTATTATTTTATGATTATTACTCTTATTGATAATTGTAGGTGCTATGTCTAAGCATAGGGTAAAATATGGACTGGACCATTGGACCCTTGGACTATTTTTTTGGACTATTTTTTGGATCATTTTTTTGGACCACTTTTTGGACCATTTATTGTTTCCTTTTTTTGGACCATTTTATCTGGGGCACACTATTACTACTCAAGAAAGGGTGGGATACAGTTTATCAGTACTAAGGGAGGGGTGAGAGCCAGACTGTTGTTACTCAGGAAGGGGTGAAAGACGAACTATTAGTACGCAAGGAACAGTGGGAGGTGGTTGTATATGTAAACGCACTGATTGATGAAGTTTTCACTGGATCATTCAAATTTTTTGAGCGGTTCTTCGACTTACTATTTTTATGTAAAAAATTTTTTTAGTTGGGCTGTTACCCTGGGCTGTTCTTTTGTCATGCGAATGCGAAACTGCCACCTAAACACTGGACTTCAATTGTCATTGAATATATGGCCAATTCTCGTCTTTGATCCTCCTCTGATGAGTCATGCGTGTGCCTTTTAAGTCGAATTGGTCCAATGCTAAATGACACTCACCGCTTATCACGAAAAATCTTTTAGTTGCTTTACGTTTCCCTTTGTGTGGACAGTATATCATTACTAAATTTATCTCATCTTCTCGTCACTGATTTTATCAGACGAACGACAGAGATCACGGAATTTCCGGTCCTTAGCCCTTAACTTAGCAGCATAGAATTCACATGCGCTATTTTAACATTTGCACCTTTACTATAACAACAATGTTGGCACAATCGTGCAGAGCAATCTGCTCTCTTTTCATGTCACACATTCCACTTCGTACATTGATGATTAAAACAGCATAGCTGCAACGTTGGATAATTTGTTAGATGACAGGTTTGCCTTTTATGGCTTACTGCCGCAATTTGTCTGTCATATAACCAATGTCATTATCATTAATTTTTCATATCATAATTATCATATCATAATTAAATCATTGATTTGCAGAATTACCCTTTTTCGAAAACAGATTTCTAACTCATAATTGAAGTATTTCCCTTTCGCAAATTATCGATTTGAGTTAATCTCACAAATGACATTTTTTCATTTTGTATCGTTTCTCAAGTTACAGTAAGCCCTCTCAGAGACAATGACAAAGCGACTTCGATGTTTTGCAATGACTCGAGAGAAAACGAAATCTTTTTCCAATTTCTGAAACAGTCAGTGATAAGTGTCAGGCCAAATCAAAATATTATGCAAAAATTAAGAAAAAAAAAACCGAATCGTACAAATATAGTGTGTGGGCTGTGAGGAAATAGGCAACGATACCTTTTCTGTCTACACCTTTTATATCACCTTTTGCTGTATTTGCTTTGTTATCGATAAACAATTATTAACACATAATTAATAAACGGTAAGAATGTCATTTCCCCTATGTACTTTAAAGACCTAGCTCTTTTTGCATTTGATTCCGATCGGCTACATCGAGGAAGTCTTTGTTTCCTAAATATTGCATCTTGGAAGTGAGCGGAGCTGCTATACATTTCTATATTTCAGTTCTTCCTATTCCGTATGCACAGATGGAGGAAAAAATTTTCTCACAATGTTCGACAAGCCGAATCTTTCGCAAGAAGTTACCATTCACGAGTAGCGCAATAAATATCTGTTTCGACAGCACTTGACCTTATAATAACAAAACGTGAGCAAGAATCTCTTCCTCCAAATAGTATCACTTCAGCCGCTAATATTAATGCATACTACTGAACACTCGTTCAAGAGAAAAAAAGATAGAAAAACGGAAGAGTGGGTGTGCTCCACGAAAACTCCCGCGCGATAGCAAAACTCTTAACTCGTGCACTCTGTTCGTAACTTTGGGAATATTCATTTTCTTTAAACAATAAATAGAAAATGATTTATCTTCATGGAACGAGTACTGATCGAAAATCATCGAACGTATAGTCAATACGACATTGAAATTATTTGAATAGCAGACCATTCGATTTGTCCGGCCAAGCCTCATACAACCAGTCAATTGTTTCATTGGGCTTGCACGGTAAACATTGATCTACCGATTTGCAGAGGATATTCATTTATCTAACAGGTAAGACTGTTTATATTGATAAATAACCGAGAGTGAGGTCCTTACGGAAAAATCTCAAATCGAGGCCTTGCGATGTTAACTCAGCGATAGCGGGGTCATTACGGTGAAGCCTCAGTTTTGGGAGTTTCCTGCTACAACGAATAAACGGTCGAGGTTAAAAAGTCGTTTGTTACGTGGATAATGAAAAAACGTTTCTGAAGAAAGAGAAAATCAATTCAAACCAAGGATCAAACTGCTTAAGTGAAATAAGTAAACTGTGGCGTTTTCTAGCTAAAAATAGGAAAAAAAATTATCGACAAAAACAAAACAAAACAAAAATTATTTACATTCGAGACAAAAACGTCCATCTTCCAAACCACACTGTAAAAAAGAATTGGTTGATGGCATTTCAATGGCATCGTTTTACAAACCTTTTACCTTTTTTTTTCGTTTGATACAAGCTTGCGTATATTTTTTATTGTTTCCTTCGTCCTCCCCGGCACAATCTAGGAGGAAGTTTAACACAGTAGCTTCGCTGTTCTCCTGAAATTTTAGCTGCAGCGAATAGAATTGACTCCCCTTTGGTGTTAATAGGCCTTCATCGTTTTCTCTGGTTGAATTTTCAGAAGAAGAGAGCCTAATTTTGTGCTTCCCAATTTGTACAGTAATCGACCTCCTGCCATTACGGCAGCGTAATGCCCTGCTCTGCTCCCGCCGATAAACCACAGTTAACCAACTTCACTTTATCAGCAGTCATAATGCAGCAAATCTGACCAGCAAGAAGGGGTTTAACCTCTACAGCATATCACATCAGTGCACACCGTCTAGTTATCAGGTGCATTCAAATATTAAAAACCTCATTTACTTTCATTTTCTCCTTTTTCAGATTCCAACGGAAAGATTCACGATTTCGCGCTTCTGCAATATGTGTTTGATGATGATGAACACGAAGTTAAAGTTAAACTACATGGCAATTCTAAAAGGCTTTCCAAAGAGTATTACCGCATCTCGCATACCACAATTGAGCGGTTAAAAGAGCTCAATAAATCCGACCCTCCCTCCATTGAAGTAAATGGAACAATTTCAGACTTTAGAAACGCAGCTGGCCATGCCAGAAATATAAAACAGATTAAGAACATTAAAAAAACCATGGAGGAGCTACTTAGGGATCCTCTACTGGAGCTAATAAACATGCTGAAACAAGGAAACAGACACAGAGAAAACGCCTTCGTCCGTAAAGTAGAGACATCGTCAGATCCTTGTGTTGTCCTGACCACAGACCAGCAACTTAAGGACGTGGAAAGATTCTGTACAAATCCGAGCCAGTTCAGTATTTTAGGAAAGGATCCTACTTTCAGTTTTATGACTCTAACCACATACAAGCATCTCCTACTCCGAATCAAAGAAGACGAGAATCCAGTCCGGATTGGACCAACCTTCATTCACCACATAAAGGAACCATCCAGTTATGACGAGCTTTCGTCTACCATGATAAAGCTAAATGGAAAAACCCAAAATGTGGGAGTGTATGGTACCGACGGATAAAAGGCATTGAGTGAGGGTTTCGGTAGACCTCTCCCTTATACCCAACATTTGCTCTGTGACCTGCATATGAAAGACAATTTAATGTCAAAAATGAAAGAACTTGGAATACGGGGCAAACCATCAGAAGTCATTCCAAGTGACATCTTCGGAAGAGAGATTGGTTGTAGGAGGGTTCCTGGTCTTCTAGACTCGGAAAGCCACACCCAGTTCGTGATCAATCTGGGAAAAATTAAGGAAGAGTGGCTTTCCTCACACCCACTCTCAGAGCGCTTTCTTTTTTACTTTTGTAAGTATAAAATGGGAATTATAAGGCAAATGATGACAGCTGAATTGCGATCCATGGCTGGTCTTGGTTGGCCCTCAGGTGTATACGATCAAAACGGAAAATGAATGCATGAACTCGGTTCTACAACGAGAGAAACAACTCACAGGGTAAATTAAGTTTTCTATTCCCGAATTTGCAAGGCTGCTGCAAACGGTGGTCAAAAGACAGGAAAAGAGGAGGATCTAACATTTGTTGGGCTCAGAGAGCTGAAAATGGATAAAAACTACGTGGAAGAGGGAATGAAGGAGTCCTTCTATTACAGGAAGACAAGAGCGCAACAAGAAGCCGCACTTTAAAAAAATGTCATAATCTGCCAGTAACGACAGTTGACGTTATTCCTATCGACCTGGAACACACAAATGTCACCGCTGAGTTTGCCTCTAGACAATACTGCCATTATGCGGGTTCCCTTCAGTATTCTAGCACGTATGTACCAACGTGCATCGTTGATTTTGGCGCGCAATGAAGAAAATATTCATCCCGATCCTAGAAGAGTGGACAACCTGCCACGTTATGTGGCAAACGAGGCTATTGATGCTGCATCATATGCAGTTTTCAGGAAACGTTCCGTGCGACATGGAACATATTATTTGTGCCGCGCCACTTGCATCGATTTTAAAGCTTAGGACATTTGTGCTCATACTTTAGCTGTGGCTGAAATGGATTGTTCATTGACTGAATTAATTCATTGTTACAAGGCAACGAAGCAAAGACCTCCCAATGTGGATGCCTTGATTCAAATGAACCTTCCTCCTGGGCGTGGTTCGAAAAAGACCAAGGCAACACAGAGAAGGAAAGGTGCTACAAATTAAAAAAAAAAGGAATTTGAGGAGAGTTATACTGACACCTCTCCAACTGACCATTCAGCATCGAATCCGGTGTCGACTTAAGTAAGATCTCCAGGAAACAGAGGCACAAAGAGAGAAGCAGAGAAGACAACAACCAAAAAAGATACAGAAGGACCTCAGGTATGTACATATTGTGAGAATCATTCACAGTTAATGTAGTGTGTAACGCGTGATTCTTTTACCTCGGTTTTAAATCGGTGTAAGGTTTCAAATTTTTTGTGCGATTATGCGGCCAACCGTTCGATTTTTTAGATAGACTATTATCGTGGTAAAGTCCCGCTATAAATTAGCTCTATCTAAGTCGTTCTATTTCACTGACTTGTGAGCTAATTGGGTTCAACGAAATAAACAAAACTCTATCAAATAAAGCTTTTGGTAATATTGCGCGGCGAGTTGAAAAAAAAAAGTACTCCTAATCAGAGAACCTTTCATTTGTAGAAATGACCTGCGAGACGTGAGGTTTATTAAGATGTAGCATCTGGCGAGACTGTCGGCTCGTTGTAAATCATACTGGTTCCCATGAAGCCACCGACTAATCTTGGCTGTTGACTAGAACGCCACTTTCATTCATATGTTTCATTCTATCTGCAGAATAAAAGCCCTAAGACATCAACGTCGACAGTTCAAGAAGGTAGTTCCAGTTGAGCCTCCTTAAAAGGTGCAGCCCTCTAGTGAGAAGGTGTTACGGGTGTAAGGGTGTCTTGAAACTGAGACGTGGTGAAGGCTTTTTTATTCCCAACCTACCAGAAGATCTCGTCATAATATCAAGCTCAAGACCGGACTACTGGCAGAATGGAGAGCAAAAGACTGGACAATTAGGAAACGTATACTTTCATTGCAAGGTTGAGTGCGTCCCAAAACTGCAGCCCCAATTTATTTCCTCCTCGGTGATAATTCCGGAGGCCGTTAAGCGTGAATTATTCGAGGCTCATCGAAATCATATACAGAAAGAGCTAGCTCTCTAGAGTTAAAATGGGAAAAACAAAGCCAAACTAAGGAAATGATAACTCTTACAGGCATTTATTAATATGCAACATTTACTGTTTTGTTTGATAATACGCAAACACAACGAAAGGTGATATAACAGGTGTAGACAGAAAAGTTATCGTTGCCCATTTCCACCGCAGCACACACACTTTAACTCTATTTGTGCAATTCGGTTTTTTCCTATTTTTGCATAATATTTTGATTTGGCCTGCAGTTAGCAGACACTTATCAACTCTGACTGTTTCAGAAATTGGAAAGTTTTCTCTTGAGTCTTTGCGAAATATCGAAGTCGTTTTGTCATTGTCTCTGAGAGGGCTTACTATAATTTGCGAAACGAAACAAAATGAAAAAGTGTTATTTATGGGATTAACTCAAATCTGTGCTGTGCGAAGTGAATTGCGTGACGTGACACTCACGCGTGTGTTCATTGTATCTAAAAGGGGAAAAATGTGTATCTGCAAAGGGAGAAATTGCTTTAAACGATTGTACCAGCAATGATATTATATAGTTAAAGTATAAACGTTAAAAATTGTGATAGTGCTTGTGAATTCTATGCTGCTAAGGAAAGGGCTAAGGACCGGAAGTTCCGTGATCTCGTCCGATAAGATCAACGACAAAAGGGGGATAGATAAATTTAGTAATTATATACTGCATACACATAGGGAAACGTAAAGCAACTGATGGTGCACAAGTCGACTCAAAAGGCACACGCATAACTCAACAGTGGATTATCGTAAACGCA